GGTAGTGTTAAAATATTAGACTCCTTAAATAGTGGCTTGCAACTATCTGAAAATGGAACACCATATATACTTCTTAAAACTTTCTTTTGAGCTATAAATGCCCGTTCAAAATGAGATGAGCAACCCCAAAATATTAAGCCATACTGAAGTACAGACTGGACTAAACTAAAGTAAATCATTCGCAATATATCAAATGAGACAGTTTCTCTTAAATTACGGATCATATAGCTACATGTACTTAACTTTGCTGATATAGGCTATTCCACGAATATACGACTGTTTTGGTTTACTGCGACAACGAATATTTTACTGTGCAAGTAGAAGTATGAAGGTCAATTGGTCTAATAATTATTCCAATAAAAAAGGTCTACTAGTATGACATCTAAACTAAAATTATTTTAGTTAAAATCTACAAATAAATACAATGACGTCTATGAAGCCAAATGTGTTCATCAGACATTTGGGTAAGCTTTCCGTGAAATGTAAACACCAAAGAGGCGTGCCGGGTTTCTTTGATATAACACATTTCATTACTTTATTAGGTTTTACAACTGTAATAAAAAGAAATATACTATTTTTAATATAAATGAAAAGAAATTGGCAGAACGATGGTTCACAAATCAGAAACAGGATCTAATATTTCACTTTGTTAGTGTTGAATAAGTGAATAAGTATGTTTTTTTGTTTTTTTAATATTAATTGAATATTCGACTAAAAAATTTACACTATTTGATCACTTAAGTATTGTTACATTTCGTTTAAATCACATAATTCAAAAACCAACTTGTTTACAATGAAATAATTGAAATGAAAAAATAAACTCCATGATAGTAATTATATACTGCAAAATCTGAATTACAACTGTTTTATAAACTATTAACTTTATATTTATATCATGACTTCATATTTAAATCTAAGGTTTATATCTGTCGTAACAGTATTTTAAAAATAGGGAGAATTTACTATTGTACAATTCAGTACATTGGACCATTTAAATCGACACCTTAAAGCAAATTTAAAACAGTCGTATATTCGTAGAATGGAGTATACGTGATTTACGTGAGTTTCCCATGTAAGTTTATGATCTAGGGTTACCCCCAAAAATTTCGTTGTAGTATAACTTTCTACTGATTTGCCATCCACATGTAAATAAAAGTCAGAATTTGGAGTTAGGTTTTTTGGTAAAAAGCGCATAAAATGTGTTTTTGTTACGTTGAGCTTGAGTCCATTATTTTTATAATATGTGCTAAATTCAGCAGACACAACATTGGTATTTTCCACCAGTTGTATGGGTTCACTGTGAGACATGAGAATATTGGTATCATCAGCATACTGAACAATTTTATCTGCCATTGAACAAAACGTGTTTAGGTCACTTACAAATATAATGAAAAATAAAGGCCCAAGTATTGAGCCTTGAGGTACACCCATCGTACATTGAAGTGGTCTGGACGTTACATTTTCCACTGTGACTACTTGAGTTCTATTACTTAGATAAGACAGGGCCATTCTTCGAACATCTTCGAATAATAAAATTTAGAATGTTTAAGATAGAATATGTTTTTAGCTTACTGCCAAAAAACAACAAATTGGTAACTAGTTTACTAACCTAACACTAGAAATAGAAACAACTAAGCATTGAATGCAACTATCAAGTAAAAAAAAATTGCAAAAATTGAGTAAGAAACAAAATTTTTTTATTGCCACCTTTAGTTAAAACTACGCCCATGGAGCGGATTTAATACAGATAGAACGGGAAAGAGGGGAGATATCCGAATGCCACCTGATGCGTACTCTGGAGGAAAAGGATAATCAAACAAAATGGCTGATTCTTTGTTTGAAAAATTGGAAAATCAACGGAACGTCTCAGGTTTGGTAGAATGGTTTCATTTGGGAATAGTTGGAGTAATACAGGGTAGAAAACGTATTCACGTAAAAAGATACCTTCCAAATGTTTGCCTGCGGGAAGAGGCAGCCGGGAGTAATTACCCCAAGGATTTATTAACGATGTCGCCTCAAATGTTTGTTTGATGGTTTGAGCCTGTTGCGTAATTACTCATTTTGAACCACAACGGGGCTTTAGATTAGATTCACAAAGCGTGTCCCGTAGAATAAAAAAAGATTATTTGCTGTAATTTAAAAATAAATAATAAGTTTGGGATTAAATGCAGTGCTAAAAATAAGAAGATATTTTTATAGATTAATATATTTTCTTTACCAGATATAAAAAACGTTGTTTTTTAATATTGTCAGCTAACATATTTGTGGATCTACTAATAAACATAAGAGACCAGAGAAATTTACAAATAAAAAGCTTTTTTGCCACACACTTTCATACAGGTATCCAAAAACTGTTTTTATCCTCCTAGCTAAACCTTATAAGCTATTCTGCTCATATAATCTAGTTTATAAAAAATATACACAATGAGATATGCCAAAATTAAAATTTGAATAGTCTAAATTAGCCTTGTCCATGCACAATTTGCATGCCCAATGGTACAAAACAATCAAACTTTTTAAAACAGATGAACAGAAGATTTTGGGGAAGACATAACAGTAGTCGATAATCTTTTACCAAAGGAAAATATTAATACACACGATCTTTTTTCACCAAAAAAAAATTGATAACATCGTGAAAGAAAAGTAATGCATCAAGTAGGTTGTGCCGATAGTAAGTTATGAACAAAACCGCATGACAACTCCATCTGTCAAATATTGTTGTTTGTAAACAGACTTAAGATTTGTGAAATAATGGAAGAATGGTGGAATAATTGTATAGAAAGGTTGCCCAAAAAAATTGGTGCAATTGACTGAACTCGGAAAAAGTGCTGTGTACGAGAAATTGAAGAGGATAATAAATGGCATAGATATGAGATATAGACCAGTTTCGGGTAGACCGCGTAAGATTCGCGGAAACAACTCAAATGCTTTAGTGGCATTAGAATGACTAAAGTCACGCCTAGAGTTTCGAAAATTAGCGAACAGATTTGGAAATCAACGATCAATAAAAGTGTGCCTAGAAACTGTCTGCATGTCACTGAAAAAAAAAGGCAATCCAAATATTAAGAAATCCAAAAAAGAAATCCCTACCATGACTCTGCAAGGGCAACGAAAAATAGATTTTTTTCAACGTTTTCAAGAAGATAATTTTAATAATATCTCTAATGAAAGTTGTTTCCAGGTAAGTGCAAATCATCTAAAAGTCCTATCAAGAGAAAATGTTACCGTTCTTTCTTTCTTTCTTTCTCTCCTTTCTTTTATTCTGTTTCCTGTCATTATTTTCAATTCCTCGAGAGATTTTTGTTTAAGTTTTCCCGCCTCCACTACTTGCTGTATCCATTGTTTTCTTGGTCTGCATCTTTTTCTTTTTCCGATGTTCTTTGCTTCATAAACTTTTCTTCTTATTCTATTGGATTGCATCCTCATCAGATGCCCATACCAGTTCATTGCTATTTTGCTCATTATCGGTTCCTGGTTGGTCATTCTCCTAATAGTCTCGTTGCTTAATCTATCCCATTTTGCCTTTCCAAATATCCTTCTTAGGTGTCTCATCTCCATTGCGTTTATCCTGCTCTTACGTTTGTCCAGAATTGTCCACTTTTCACTTGCATAGAACACAGTCGGTATTACTATTGTGTTATATATTTTTATTCTTGTTTCTCGGGCAAGTTCTCTTTTTTCCATTATTGGAGCTAACGCATAGTATAACTTGTTTGATTTCTTTGCTCTATTTGTTATTTCCTAATCTATTTTTCCGTTATTAGTTATTATACTTCCCAGGTATTCGTAAGTTGTTAGGTACTATTTTCAATTCTGAGTTTTTACGTTTTATCTTTATTTGATTATCTTCCTTATCTCCTTTGCCGTTGATTATCAATATCTTTCTTTTTTTGTGTTAACGTTAAAATATACAAATTTTCCACTAAAATAATGATTTGGGGAGCAATATCTCTCCAGCTGTAGCGTGGTGCTATACCTCTCTGTACAGTAAATAGTATGTTTTACTTCTGCTTATACTCAAGCTTGGATGCAAGAACACGAATTGGCAGCCATTCCGTGGCCAGCAGCATCTCCAGATCTTAGCCCCATTGAAAACATATGGGTACTGATGAAGATTAAATTGAAACGAGCATCGCCACGAGATAAAGAAGGTTTAATTCGGTCAGTTTTAGAGGTCTGGAACACCATTACCGAAAATTATATCCTTGACCTAGTTTCGGGTATACCTGGACGTTTAGTTAAGTGTGTAGATTTAAATGGAGGTTGTATAAGTCAATGAGATGAATTATGTGTTGAAATTTTATATTTCAAGTTATAGAAATAAATACTGTAATTAATAGTATACAAGCTATGCAAAAAGAGAATCCAAGACACACAGTTTGGATTCAAGAAAGGTGTAGGTACAAGAGACGCACTGTTTAGTTTACAGGTATTATTTCAAAGTTGCAGAGATATGGCTTGCGATATCTACACCTGCTTTGAGGACTACCAAAAAACATTTGACATAGTTCAACATCGAAAAATGATGGATGTTCTAACAAAAGCCTTGGAGATGAACCGACGGAAGCCATCCAGAATCTGCGAGACGTTAGACAAAGATGTATACTTTCACCTATATTATTTAACCTTTATTCAGAGAAAATATTTGGTGAATCCTTGAAAAATTGCGAACATGGAATCCTTTTAAATGGAGAACGCCTACACAACATCTGCAATGCAGATGACACCATTATTTATGCAGACAGTATAAACAGTTTACAGCAACTAATAAACTAAGTTGATGAAGTAAGTGAAAGATTTGGACTACAAGTAAACATACCAAAAACTAAATTTATGGTCATCAGCAACAATAAAATAGAGACGTCCAACTGCTTATTAAGAATACACCAGTGGACCAAGTAAAACAGTTTACCTATCTTGGAACAATAGTAAACGAACAACAGAATTACTTACAAAAAGTAAAATGTAGAATGGAGAAAGCTAGGGGTGCATTCAACATCATGAACAAACTCTTTAAAAGCTACAACCTTAATCTGGAGATAAAAGTAAGGCTTTTGGGATATTATATCTTCTCGATATTATACTACGGATTTAAATCCTGGATACTAACTGAAGCCATGGAGCAAAAACTTGAAACCTTTGAGATGTGGATATACAAAAGAATCTTAAGGATATCATGGACGGACAAGATAACCAACGAGACTGTGCTACGAAGAATGGGGAAAGAAAGAGAGGTAATGTATACCGTTAAAATGAGAAAGTTAGATTACGTTAAACATACAATAAGAATCGGCACTACATACAGATTACTGAAAATAATCCTTCAATGCAAAGTATTCGAAAAGCGACGAATTGGGAGAAGAAGAATATCATTCTCCAGGAAACGGTTCTCCACAACAACAACTATCTATTTAAAGTATCAGTTAATAAAATAATTATAGCTGGGATGATCGCCAATATTCCAAACGAATAGGCACCAAAAAAGAAGAATATAATTACTTTCTTGTTACATTGTAATTTACTTTAACTGTGTATAAACTCACTGTATTACTCAATTTGTAACTAACGAATTTTATATATCCTGACGCTACTAACTCTCGGCCGTTAATGCAGTTCAAAAATGAAAAAATAAATACATTTTACTTAAATTAAACAATTTCTAAATTACCCCTATAAATTTCAGAAATTTGAAACATTTGGTATATCGAAAGCAGCGTGATTTAATGAATTAATAAAAACGGCCTTCCTCAGCTTTCGAAGATTCTTAGGAAACAAGAAATTAATTCTTGCATTTTGATGAGTATCTCATCATAAAAAATCAGACTTTTGAATTAATTTGCGTTGGACGATTTTTAAATTACTCACAAAATGGCCCGGCTTATAATGCAAAAAAAAAATATTTTAAATAATTTACACATACAAAATAATTTTTAATATTAGTAATCGATCTTAAAGATTTAAATATTTAAATGATTATTTCTTTAATTCTGAACGCGTAAATAGTGAATAATAATAAAATCAAAATCCTATTCGGATTATTGAATTCGACTCTGAACATAGTATCTAATACGTGTTTTAAAATTAATTTAAAAACTAGTGAAAGACTTAAAATCTTTTTGTTAATTAGTGATATAGTAGTGTAATAACAAACATAAATACAACAGAGACAGTAGGTTACTTTAATCATATCAGTTTTTACTATTATCAAATATTACTTCGGATTATAATCATTTAACCTACAAAAGCTCGGACAGGTATATCAAACTTGTTCAAACAAAACTGACAATCCTACAACTAATAGTATACCCAACAGCTTCTCATCAAATCAATTTAATGGATCACGTACATATTTTGCGTAACCAATCAAATACCACAATTCAATATATTTCCATCAAGACAACAATTATTTTTGATTCAATTGAAAATACCAAACTAGATGATAACTTGTCCGCTCTGGCTGTGAGTCGTCTGATACAACAAACCCAGATCATATCTTGTTGAATGTTATCAAATAATAGAGTATGTATATATTTAGCAAACAAAAAACTAGCTAAGGATTTTATAAACAAAAATGAAAAAATTCAAACAACCAACAACTCTTACAAGCTCGTAGACTTAGCCCCAGTCAGCGATAAGTATTGTCCAATGTCCATCCCTCAATCCCACACTCAGTCCTTATATCTGCATTAAAATCACATGGAATAAATCTTCTGTCATCTATAACATTCCTAAGAATAGGCACAACAATACCACAATTCCAACATATTTTAAGTTTCAGACGACAAACACACATATCTCCACTAAATAATAAGCCCTTACCTGATTCTTTTCTTATCACATATGAGGAAACGATATACAGGATTTACCTATCATTAGATAACCAAGCTTGCCAAACATGTAAGCAAACCAACCACTTAACAAAATTTTTTTTTTTGTTAAGTGGAAAGCTGGAAATATTTTTTGTCTCTGTTACATTGTCAGGTTAAAATTAGGGTCGCTAGGGTCGCAATAACTACGTGTTATTTTTACCCAATTTAAAAGTAAATATACATCAGTAGCCTAATATTCCGGTTGAAAACAAAGTTGTTTTGTTCGTTTCGAGTTTGTTAAGAAGGAATATCAAGGAGGATATAGTTTGTTTTAAGTTGGTATTATTAATAAATAATTAAAGTTTATATTTTTTATAATTAAATTATAATTAAAGGTTTATATTATGAATCGTAGCTAAAAAATGTCATATTTTATTCTGATTTAAAATGTTATGTTGACATATGACATTTGCTCTAATCCATTGTTGTTGTAAAACAATTTCAATTTGATTATTATATATAAAAGATATTTCATATATTAAGGTTAAATTCTACAGTATTTTCATAAAAAGGATATCCATAAGTTTTTTTGATATTCTAATTTGGCCATATTATAACCTAGGAACCATTTCAAAAAATTTTTGTAGCAATCTCTTTTGTAAACGAATAATACGTAAGTTTTTGTTAATTTGTATTCTGTTATAAATATAGTATCTTTCTTGTGTAATCTGTATTTTTGATAACTGTTTGTTTGAGACAAAAATAAACGTTTGATTTGTTTCTCTGATCCATTTTGTGTTTTAATTTAGAAAAGTCTCCTAATCCTTGTATGTATTTTTGATTGTAGGGAAAAAGAATTTTTTCTTTCTCCCAGCAGGAAGTTTTCTTCAAAGCGGCGTCCAAATATAAATAGCTATAGGTAAATTTGTCTGCCATAGCTTTTTCGTTTTTGACCCAGATTTATTTAAGTATCCCTTTGTTTTCATTTAGTAGATACCCCAATCCGACCCATTTTATTTCAACTTATCCACCACCCAGCTCTTCAACAACCTTCTGAGTGCCGTACGCACTAGTTCCGAGTATTTTGTTTGCCCAATCTTCTCCCCCATGTTTTTACCCTGAGGTAAACAAAATAGTTTGTTACGCCATACAAGACTTACTCATGACTATTTATTACAGCGCAAAAATAAACCAGTGTGTGAAGTGTGCAACAGTGTTATAACGGTAAAACATTTTTTATTACAATGTCCTAAAAATAACAGTGAAATACTCAAATATAGCAAACTCAACTCCCTAAGAGATGCCTTAGAAGAAAATGCAGACACCCAAAAAATATTTTCTTATCTTAAAGACTGTCAACTTCTTCAAAAGATCTTAAATATACATTATAATACACATAGATATTATTATTATTGTAAAGAAATGATTATACACTAATTGTATCAACTGTCACATTAATCTAAATACTCTAATGACCCTGCGTGGTTGATGTGTTTAAAATGCGTTATTAAAATAAAAAAAATATTATTTTTTCCATAGCTAATGTTAAAGTATTGCTATAACAACTGTTTTGAGTAGATAAAGTATCATTTTAACTGCAAGGGTAGATAAAGTGACACTTTAACAGCAAGAGTAGATAAAATGTTTTAACTTTTTTTTATTCAATAAAATTTACAAATTCAAACACATTAAGGATTCAAAACAACTGAAATTTTACAATTAATATTATTAGAAATATCTATTTTTGGAGCATCACAACTTGTACTCGTTTGCTTAAATACTTGATTCGAGGTACTGGATTGATTTTCTGTAACATTTGTTTGACATTTATTGAAAGAGTAATTCATATCCCTAGCAACGAAGCAACATTGCAATTTTTGTGCTAAAAATTACAATTTTTTTTTAAATTCCATTTTTCACCTGAAATTAAAGTCTTGATATAGAAAAAAATTGTTGTTGTATTGCACACGACGATAAAATCGCATTATCTTCTCGAGCATAATTAGCGTCTCGACTGACGTCTCGACGCTAAAAAACTCTCTCGAAGATAAAGTACAATTTTATCGTCTTGTACAATAAATAATTATAATCTTATTTTGTTTTATTTAATATTTGTTGTGATAAACTAAAACATTAATAATATATACAAAAAGCAATTTACACCACCACTGAAGTTTACTTAAATGTTTACGAAAGCTTTTATTCTGAAAATCGAAATGCCATAAAAGATTTTTCAACAGAAGAAATCCACCGAGGTTTTCCAGAGGGAAATTATAGGAAAATTAAAGTTATTGTACCAAAATTAATTATATTAAAAATTTCATGCAAAATTTTTCGATATTTTTTGGAAATCGCAAGGAAAATTAAAGTTCAGTCTGATTATTTCTTTGTACCTTATAATCAAATGTTTTTGTAGGGTTGTATTGAAGTATCAATATGGTTTGTGTTGTTAAAAATGCGTGCGTTAAAAATTAAGTGCTTATGTAAAATGTTATACCTAAAAACTACGTCATCTGGAACAGGTGGGTTAGAGTTGACAGGCAATAATCGTTGGACAAAGTCTTCCTCCATTCGAGCAAGCAAGATGTTCGTTCCCTTTATGTGAAATCCTATAACATCGACCCTGTGTGTAAATATTACGATATATTGCAATATAATAACTTAATCTGCATATTATATATATATAAACAAACCATTATGTGATACCCACATATTTATAAAGATAGGCATATCATTAACTTACTACAAAACCAAAATTAAGTTGCTCCAAATAATCAAAATTTTAGAGGTTTCTCCCAAAATCCACTGCAAACACGTGACTGCGATTAATAGCAGATCCCAAGAGGTGTGACTTGGCCTGTGCGCCAAAGGCGACTGACCCGTTATTATATTGGATTATTTCTAGTCCCAGAAACAAGAACAGAAACTAAAAACGATCCTTTCTAATAGGTTGAATATGGCTACGTTCCATAATCTAGACCGAACTGAACACGTCTATCATTTGATTAACAACTGAAATAATATATTAATATTATAATTTCGAGCAAAGGCGATAAAGATCATTAAGAATGAAAAAAGCAAATCTAACAAAAATATTTAAAAAAAATGTTGGTACAGTACTGTTATAGATACTATTATGCTTTAATGTCAATAGATTTGAAACATTTACAGTGTCGGATTCAAGGGGGAGGCCACGGAGGTCATAACCCCCCAAACAAAATTAAATATCAATCAAATAAATATCAAAGTGAATATTGTTGTTGCATTAGGTGTTTGTGCAACTCGTTGGGTTGAAAGGCATGAAGGTCATCTTCACTTCCAGGGCAAATCATTCATCTAAATATACAACGCTCTTGAAACAATTTCTACATGGAAGGACAGTAAAATGTCAGCTAATGAATTTTCATTAATGCAAACTATTACGAGCCCAGGATTTCTCATTTTAGTATTTTGTCTTAGTAATGTTTTAGGTACAACTTTCACACTTGTCGTCTTCTTCAGTCATCAAAATTAGGTTTAAAGAAGGCTGCTGAGGCCATAGAGGACACTAAATGCATTCTTCAAAATAAAAGATCAAATTCTGAATCTGTTTTTAGCAAACTTTACTACGAAGTAAAGAAAATAGCTAAACAACTAGACATTGAACTGAAGATGCCTGAAGATT